GCATTGAAAATCGATTACATTACTTATTTTTCGTTTATAATAGGGTCTCGAGACGACAAGTCAGTCAATCTAATGCTAGCAAACTAGCTCTTATCTCCGCCGCATTTATCGTGCTTCAAGTTTATGACTTCTTATATACTAACATCCGTGAGAAGCAAAGAGGGAGATGGAAATCAAAATAATCCAAAGAATCCTGGCACATCAATAGCCAATACACAGGAGTGGATTGACTGGCATACGCAAAAGAATAAACAAATAGTTCTTCAGTTGGATAAGGGAGGAGCAATGGTGGTAATGGACAGGAAACAGGACACTGAGACAATGGAACGTACCCTAGGCGTCCGGAAAACATATCAAATACTACAGAAGGATCCAACCATGAAGTTCAACGGGACATTGAAGGCTATGTTGACGGAAATGCATAATAACGGAGAAATCGACAGAAGGATGATGAAATCTAATTAAAAATGACACAAGAGAGCGACAGCTTACGAACAACATTAAGAAGGAAAACCGCTAATATTAAAAGTCAACAACAAGCTAGTGAAATTAATTTGCTTAAAGCTTAAGAAAGTAAGGTACAGACTCTCGAATGCCCTGAAGAATTCATTTGAGCTTTATAAAAGGATCCAAACATTGGGCTGTTACAAGGTACAATCAATGTACACAAACACCTCAGGCGAGAAGGTGGTGCGAACCCTGCTAAAAATATTGGAACGAGAATAGGATATCCTGGAGGCATAACGGATACGAGAGGAATCGTTAATACGACTGACCAACCTGACAGCAAGGACCATCTATTTTATATTTAACGGCAGTATCTATGAGCAAATATTTGTACTACCGATAGGATCTCCACTCTCACCTATTTTGGCAAATGTGTACATGGATAAATTGGAAATGGAATTCGAGAAGTCACTACTGCAACCAAGAGTGCTTATGCGATTATTCGCATTAAGACGAAAAACCAAAAGAGGCTCATAACCAGAAGTGTGTCGGAATTTGCGGAATCGGATTGATGGTTATAACATATATGTAGAATGGGGGAGATAGTGGTAATCAAACCTTGATGGCCGAGAACAGACGTTACTTTTGCTGTCCTAATTACTTTGAGCCGTCACTGCGGGCTTCGTGCATAAGTGAACACAAACAGGCGCATAAACATACGGGGACAGATACACTCACAGGCTTAGAGGTTGACATTTGACCGTAACTAACCAAATATCTTTATACCTGATCAGAGAGGCCCGATACAAAGTATATATACAGCCTTTTAAGGATTTGCCGGTGAGTTTTCTTGACTCGCTAGCTTGAATTTGGTTGTGACTATGATACCTTGCTCTGATGATGTTCTTCATATGATGGACGAAAGCTTAGCACCTTTTCATCGTAATCGAAGGAGATTAGCTCGGAAACAACGTCACTATGAATGTTCCAGTAAAGCCAATCGAGAGCTGGTAAACTGGAATCCGCCGTCGTTTTCTGATGCAATCGACCTTCAAACTGTTCACCAAACACTTTCACTCGAAATGGAAGTAAGCTTAACAATTTCACGTAGTTACATCTTTTTTTAGCATGAAGTTCTGAGTACTTGGCGACATACCCGTATTACCTAATGAAATTACAGGTAAACGACATGCCCTTGATGTAAAGATTGCTTTTAGTGTCGTATATTTGGACCAGGCGATTGGCAGATTGAGGGATATACTGTTTCAAAACAGTTAATCATTTCAATTTTTAGGCAATTACATATCAATTAATGTTAACAAGATTTAGGGAAGATGTGAAGACCAAGATGTTGTGGCCTCGGGTATGGTCGCAGTCTCCTTTCGACTTATAGAAGT